TAGGCTATAACACACGAAATCGAAAAATCGCCCGGAATTCTAATTTTATTGCTTGAAAATGCCAAAAACGAGTAACGGCCATGAAGAAGTGGTGACTATGGTTACTTAGGTCATTTTTATGGGCTAACAAAACTTAAGGCGGTCCGGGTCTGGTCGCCTCGTGCGGAATTCTAATTTTACGGCCTTGAAACACCAAACAACGTGTAACGATCATGGCGAGGCATTGATTATTGCTTCTAAGATCACTTTTGATGGGCCGACAAAATTTTAGGCAGTACAGATCCGGTCACCCAGGCCTATGTAGAAGGCGTGTACTAAGTACATGAAAATCTAGGAATCAGGCAGAATTTTAATTTTACATCCCTAAAACGTCAAAAAATGAGTAACAGTCATGGCGAGGTGGTGACTATTATTCCATAGGTTGTTTTTGACGGCCGACAAAATTTTAGGAGGTCAGGTCGCCTGGGCCCATGAAGAAGGCGTGGGGTATATCATACCAAAATCTGGAAATCGGGCGGAATTTCAGATTTTTATGGCCTTAAAATGCCTAAAAAGAAGTAAAGGTCATTCCGAGATGGTGACTATTGTTCCTTAGGTTGTTTTTGATGCAAGACAAAATTTTAGACCGTCGTAGTCTGGTCACTCGAGCCTAAGCTGAATGTGTGGGCTATATCACACGAAAATCTTGGAATCGTGTGAAATTGCAATTTTATGGCCCTAAAATGTTAAACAATGAGTAACGATCATGGTAAGGCGGTGACTATTGATACTTATGTTGTTTTTTATGGGCTGATAAATTTTAGGCGGTCCGATTCTGGTCGCCCGGCCCCATGTAGAAAGCGTGGGCTATAACACGCAAAAATCTAGAAATCAGGCAAAATTCTAATTTTATGGCTCTAACACGCCAAAAGAGAGTAATGGTCATAGAGAGACCATGACTATTGTTCTATAGGTCATTTTTGTGGGCCGGCAAAATTTAGGCGGTCCAGCTCCAATCACCCGGGCCCTACAGAAGGCTTGGGCTATAGCACACAAAAATCTGAAAATTGGGCAGAATTCAGTTTTATGGCCCTAAAATGTCATAAAACGAGTAACACTCATGGCGATGCAGTAACTATTGGTCATCAAGTCATTTTTAATGGGCTGACAAATTTTAGGTGGTGCGGGTCCGGTCGCCTGGGGCTATGCAGAAAGCGTAGACTATAACACATGGAAATCAGGCGAAATTCCAGTTTTGTGAACCTTAAAATATCAAAAAATGAGTAACGGTCACGGCAAGGCAGTGACTATTGTTCCATAGGTCATTTTTCATGGGTCAAATTCTTTTTAGGCTATTTGGGTCCGGTCGCCCGAGCCCATGCAGAAAGCGTGGGCTGTAACACACCAAAATTTAGGAAACGTGTGGAACTCTAATTTTATGGTCCTAAAACGCCAAACAACGAGCAACGACCATGAAGAGCCGATGACTATTGTTTATTAGGTCAATTTCGATGGGTCGGCAAAATTTTAGGCGGTCCAGGTCCGGTCGCCCGGGCACATGTAGAAGGCGTGGGCTATAGCACTTGAAAATCTGATAATCGACCGAAATTCTATTTTTACGGCCCTAAAATGCAAAAAAAAAAAAATGAGTAACAGTCATGAAGAAGCGGTGAATATTGTTCCTTAGGTTATTTTTGATAGGTCAGAAAATTAGGCTGTCGGGGTCCGGTCGTTGGGAACTAGGCAGAAGGCATGGGCTATAACAGACGAAAATCTAAAAAACGTGCGATATTCCAATTTTATGTCTCTAAATTGTTAAACAATGAGTAACGGCCATGGCGAGGAGGTGACTATTTATCCTTAGGTCATTTTTGACGGCCAACAAAATTTTAGGCGGTTCGAGCCCGGTCACTCGGGCCCATGCAGAAGGCATGGGCTATAGCACGCGAAAATTTAGGAATTCGGCGAAATTTCAGTTTTACGACCCTAAAATGCCAAAATACGAGTAACCGTCATGGCGTGGCGGTGACTATTGTTCCTTAGGTAATTTTTTATGGGCTGGCAAAATTTTAGATGGTCCGGCTCCGACTTGGGCCCTACAGAAGGCTTGGGCTATAACACACGAAAATCTGAGAATCGGGCAGAATTTTAGTTTTATGGTACTAAAATGCCAAAAAATGAGTAATGCTCATGGAGAGGCAGTGACTATTGTTCCTCCGGTCATTTTTAATGGGTCGATAAAATTTTAGGTGGTATGGGTCCGGTCGCCCGGGCCCATGCAAAAGGCATAGGCTATAACACACGAAAATCTGGGAATCCAGCGAAGTTCCAATTTTATGGCCTTAAAACTCCAAAAACGAGTAACAGACATGGTGATGTAGTGACTATTACTCCATAGGTCATTTTTGATCGGCCGAAAAGTTTTTAGGCGGTGCGGGCCATGTAGAAAGCGTGGACTATAACACATGGGAATCAGGTAAAATTCCAGTTTTATGGCCCTAAAACACCAAAATATGAGTAACAGTCATGGTGAGGCGGTGACTATTGTTCCTTAGGTCGTTTTTTATGGGTCAGAATTTTTTAGGCTGTTTGGGTCCGGTCGCCCGAGCCCATGCAGAAAGCTTGAGTTATAGCACACGAAAATCTGGGAATCGAGCGTAATTCCAGTTTTACTGCCCTAAAATACAAAAAAATATTAACGGTTATAGCGAGGCGGTGACTATTGTTCCATCGGCCATTTTGATGGGTCGACAGAATTTTAGGAGGTCCGGGTCTAGTCGCTTGGGCACATGCATAAGGCATGGGCTATACCACAAAAAATTTGAGAATCAGGCAGAATTCTAGCTTTACGGACCTATACCTTAGGTTGTTTTTGTTGCGACGGAAAATTTTTAGGTGGTCGGGGTCCGATCTCTTGTGCCTAGGTAGAAGGGGTGCGCTATAACACATGAAAATCTAGGAATCGTGCAAATTCTAGTTCTATGGCCCTAAATCTTAAACAATGAGTAATGGTCTTGGCAAGGTGGTGACTATTGTTCCTTAAATTATTTTTGATGGGCTGGAAAATTTTTAGCTCATCCAGGTCCCGTTGTCGGGCCCATGCAGAAGGAGTGGGCTATAGCACATGAAAATCTGGAAATCGGACAAAATTCCAGTTTTATGGCCCTAAAATGCCAAAAAACGAGACTCGGTCATGGCTTGGTGGTGACTAATGTTTCTCATTTCATTTTTGACGAGCTAGAAAAATGTTAGGCAGTCCGACTCCGGTCGCCCAGGCCCTGCAAAATGCTTGGGAAATATCACATGAAAATCTGAGAATCGGGTAGAATTTCAGTTTTATGGCACTAAAATGCCAAAAATGAGTAATGGTCATGGAGAGACAATGATTATTGTTCCTCAGATCATTTTTAATGGGTCAAAAAAAATTTAGGCAGTTCGAGTCCGGTCGCCTGGGCTCATGTAGAAGGCATAGGTTATAGCACACGAAAATTTAAAAATCGGGCGGAATTCCTGTTTTATGGCCCTAAAACGCCATAAAATGAGTAACGATCATGGCGAGGTGGTGACTATTGCTCCTTAGGTAATTTTTAATGGGCCAACATAATTTTAAGTGGTCCGGGTCCGTTCGCGAGGGCCCATACAGAAGGTGTGGGTATAACACACGAAAATGTAGGAATCGTACGGAATTCTAGTTTTATGGCTCTAAAATACCAAACAACGAGTAAAGGTCATGGCGAGATGATGACTATTTTTGCTTTGGTCATTCTTGATAGGCTGACAAAATTTTAGGCGGTCCAAGTTCGGTTGCCTGGGCCAATACAGAATGCATAGGCTATAGCACACAAAATCTAGAAAACTTGTGAAATTCCAATTTTATGGCCCTAAAATACCAAACAACGAATAACAGTCATGGTGAGGTAGTGAATATTGTTCCTTAGGTCGATTTTGATGGGCCAATAAAATTTTAGGCGGTTCGAGTTTGGTAGACCGGGCACATGTAGAAGGCATACATGAAAATCTGGAAATTGGGAGATATTCAAGTTTTACGGCCCTAAAATGCCAAAATATGGGTAACGGTCATGGCGAGGCGGTGAATATTATTGAATAAATTGTTTTTGACAGGCCGATAGAATTTTATACAGTCGGGGTCCGGTTGCCCGGGCCTAGACAGAGGGCCCAGGGTATAACGTACGAAAATCTAGGAGTCATGCGATATTCTAATTTTATGGCTCTAAATCGTTAAATAACGAGTAACAGTAATGGCGAAGTTGTGACTATGGGGTCCATATTTATCTGGTTATACCCTGAGTATGCATCTACAAAACTTAACAGCTCATGTCCTGCGGTAGAATCAATTAGTTGATCTATGTGCGGCAAAGTGAATGAATCTTTAGGACAAGCTTTATTTAAGCAAGTATAATCTACACAAACTCGCTATTTTCTATTCGTTTTTGGTACTACCACAATATTAGCTAGCCAGTTAGGATATTTTACCTCTCATATTGACCCAATTTTTAAAAGTTTTAGTACCTCATCTTGGATCACCTAATTTTTAAAGGATCCATGTTTCCTTTTCTTCTGCTTGAAAGGTGGATATGATGGGTCCTCGTTCAGTTTATGAATCATCACCTCCGGTGGTATACCCGTCATATCTGAATGGACTAAGAAAAGCAATCTGAGTTTGCTTTTAAATATTCAATTAACTTACTTTTCATTTCTATGCTCAGGTTTACTCCGATGTAAACTTTTCTGTTCGGCCAGTGTTTAAATAGCACCACCGAATCAAGTTCTTTGGTAGTTGTCTTAATATTTTCATTTTCTTCTGGCTCTTGAATAACATCGGGTCTCAAATCAATGTTAGTTTGTGCTGGAATGCCTTCTGTTGAGGTTTGTATTGCAACATCCTCAACTGAACTTTGTAACTGCTATTTCTTGCCTTTCACCTCGCTTACCATGCTGTTACCAACTACTGAATTGATACTCCTAAAAGCTTGTTGATCTCTAAGGATTTGACGGATCCCCTACTGTGAAGGAAATTTGATAACTTGATGCAATGTGGATGGTACAACATCCATATCGTGAATCCATGGTCTCCCCAAGATTATATTATAGGCCATATATGCATCTATCACCTGAAACTTTGTATCTTTGATAAGCCCTTCTATAAACATAGCCAACACTACTTCTCCTTTCGTGATAACACTTGAATTATTAAACCCAGATAAAGTCAGTGCCTTTGGTATCATCTTGTAGTTAGCTTGCATCTCATCCACCACTCTTAGTAAAATGATATTCGCGGAACTACCTGAGTCAATCAAAACTCGTTGTACGTTAGTATCGTGTACAAGTAAAGATATTACCAGTGCGTCATTGTGAGGAATCATCAAGCCGTCCGTATCTTCATCATCAAATGTTATACTGTCTCCTTCCAAGGTTTGACGTATTCGCTTCCCATGAGTGACTATGACTTTCGACATCTTCTTTGCTACTGTATAAGTCACACCATTGACCTCGTCTCTCCCGGTTATTACGTTAACTGTTCTTTTTGGAGACGGGGATTTTGGAGGTTCTTGCCTATTCTTCATATATGATTGCCTACCTTTCTCGATGAACAGGTCAGTTAGATAACCTTGCCTTAACAAATGCTTGACCTCTCCTTGTAGTAACTTGCAATTAGCTTTTCTATGGCCGTGATCGTTGTGAAATTCACACCAATAATCTGGATTTCTTTTGCTCGGGTCTGACCTCATTTCCTTAGGCCACCGTACCTTATCTCCCGTACCTCTTAAAACAACCACCACTTCGGAGGTACTGACATTAAAACTGTAATCTCCGATTCTCGCATGTGTGCTAGAATTGTCTCCTCGCACATCCCGTTCCTTTCTGAATCTAGTTGAGGAATCCGCATCTTTTTGCCTTGACCTTGATTCATATTGTAAGTTTTCTTGTTTTGAACGAGAATCTCGACATGCAGGACCCATATAAGGCTCGTACCTATTTTTCTCGGTGCTTTTTTATGATTCTAAGCATCTTGAACCTACTCTTTCATCAACTCTTGGCTATAGAACCGTGTCTTCCTCTATTTGCAGCTTCGTGCTATATCTATTATACATGTCGTTCCAAGTTATTGTTGGAAATTCTCGTAAACTTTCCTTCAGTCTCCTCGTGGCTTCTGAACTTCTCTCGTTTAGATTGCTTGCAAATGCCATAGCTGCCCAATTGTCAGGTACTCGTGGTAATATCATCCTCTCCTGCTGGAATCTATCCAAAAACTATGTGATTAGTTCTATGTTTCCTTGTTTTACCTAAAAGATGTCTTCCATCCCTTTTCAACTTTTTGAGCTCCCGAATGTGCTTTTATAAATGAATCTGCAAGCTCAACAAAAGAATCAATAGAGTTTATAGGTAAGAGATAATACCATATTAATGCTCCTTTCATGAGAGTTTCACCAAATTTTTTAACCAAAACTGATTCGATTTCTTTCTTGGTTAAATCGTTGCCTTTCACGCCAGTTGTAAACACAATTACCTAGTCTCGGGGCTCAGTTGTTCCATCATATTTTGGAATATCAGGCATTTTAAACTTCTTAGGAATCGACAAAGGTGTTGTACTTGGCTTCCAGGGCTATTGTGAATATTGATTATCAATATCTGCTCCTTTAATCACGGGTAGTACACTAGATGTTTGTTCTATGCGATTATTTGCTCTTTCAGCTGTTTCTGTAAAGTTAGTACCAAACTTTGTAAATCAGAATTATTTGGTATACCTGACCTTCCATCACAAGATTCATTGGGAATTCCTCCACTTCCTGAATTGGCAAGCCTTGAGCGTGTGTTTTCTATGGTTGCGATATTGTTTGGAGGAGGAGTTGGCGGCGTAGTTGGCAATCCCTTAACAAAGGCTTGGAGAGCGCTGTTCATGTGTTCTGCGATCAATTATTTTAAAGTGTCTTGTTCGACAGTCTGCTCATCCCCTTGATGATCATTCATGTGTGATGTTGATCTTTCAGGTGTCCCCTCTTGGGACTGTCGAGGAGATTCTTGTGGTAAAGGGATTGGTGGAGTTCCTCCCTCCTATAGATTTAGCTAGTTACTTTCGTTGACAGTTGACATGATTGGTTGTCAGAAAGAGTATTTAAAAAGTGAAAAAATTATCAGATTCCCGATAACAGAACAATTTGTTTAACCAAAAAATAGGTTTCTTGATCAAAATCTAAATTTAAAAGAAAACGGGTTACTGATAATCAAGTTTTATTTCACTTTCACAATAATATTTATGGAAAATAGTAAAAATGGCAAAAGAACTAATTGATGGTCAAATTGTAAAATCAAGATAGAGAATTTCGAGAAGCAAAAAAATAAAGAGTATATTTCAGTAGTACTTGAGATCTGTCCTTACAAATAAAATTTTGTATCCTTATATAGGAGTGTACAATCGTAATGATTTTCCCACATAATTTGGGTTTATTACTGGCATTAATGGTATTGATTGCCCACTATCTCAGATATTTATAATTGGTGTATTTATAGCGATAAATACCCTATAACTATTTCGATTCTCCTTCCTTATTTACTTCCGGTTCACGTATCTTTCCTTCTTTTTGATCTTTATTCATTTCGTCCTCGCCTTTTTCTCTGTCAACTGTTAGGCCCGGTTCTCTTCTCCATATTGTCTCGTGGGTGTTTCTCCCTGTGCCTTCCTCTCTCAATTAATTCTTTCAATTGAGAATGCCATTTGTCGCTATATCACTATTCCACGTGTCATGTTATGTCAGCATTCCAACTTTCCACGTGTAATGCCATTTTACCACCAATACAGATAGTCCCCCTACTTTTTGGATATTATCTATTGAATATTCGGGAAGTGGAAAATTTTTATGGCGGGAATTCTTTGCCGCCGTTTTTCAAATACAATCATGTCTCCTTCAGAACCTGTGCGACACATATCACGTCTATTTAATTCTCATGCCACGTGACTTCTACTGATTGGTTCTATAGTTTCTCAATGCTTTTTAGGGCTTTTCTGCAGCCATGTCACTCATGAAGTGACAATTCTATTATGATGCTTCGTAATGACCTACCTTAACAAAGGTCGTGTCTTCTTATAAATATTCCACTCTTTTTGATTTATTGAAGTCTTTCTTCTTTCATATTCACTTCCATCTTTTTGGTTTACACTCTTCTGCATCTTTTCCCTATTCTTCTTTGGACAATCATGTCTTCCCCAGATCCCCGTAAGGTTGTAATTGTTGACGAGTTTATTCCTTATAATGCTCCCACTAGAAGTAGAAGGGGTGGTAGGCTTTGCAGTCTTGGTTCTATATCTAACCGTGGTTCCTCTTCTCAAAGTAGTGCTACTAATCCATATTCCTCTAGACCTAGGGCTCCTATAACCCCTAGATCTTCTTCAAGAAATAGAGATTTAACTGAAACTGTGCATGAACCCACAGTTGCAGAAATTGTTCCTCAAGAGTTTTCCTTTGTAACTGATCATGAATCTATAAGAAACCAAGTTTCTTCCATAGCTTCCCTCAATCATGCCGACATTTATCCAAGTTTGATTACTACTGGTCTTCTTTATCTTGTTCAAAGAGAGTGTCATTGGAAACCTGATTTCCTAGTTTTAGTTCCTGGTGCCAATTAGAGAATTACTTCTTACCATGTCGATTTCTCTTTTGTCTATACCTACCCTTTCACTCTAGGGTTCAAACCCCCTATTGATCCTGTGATCCTTGAGTTTTGTCATTATTTCAAAGTGTATCTTAGCCAGATTGGCCCCATAGTATGAAGGGTTGTTGCATGCCTTCGTTATTTGGCAAAACTGGTTTTCGTGCCTTTTACTTTTTGGCACTTGCTTCACTTATACTCCCCAAGCTATTTTGTGAAGGTGTCTTTTCTCCCGTGGCTAGAAGTAAGAGAGTTTTGGTTAGCCCTAAAGATGATCGAGATCGTGGCTGGTATGCTCGTTTTGTTGCTGCTCCCACTAGTAGGTTAGTGGGCGAAGAAAACATGCATTTCCCAGAGAAATGAAAATTTTCACATAAGTTATTTCTCTTTTGTTTTTGAAATATCTCAAAAGACTTTATTATAATAAAATACCTAACCTTTTAGCATCCATAGAAGTTTTTGATGAAATTCCCAACTTCCGTGCTTGGGTAGAAAAGATTTTAACTGTTGCACCTATGGAGAAGAGCTCCTGGAAATATCTTTCTCAAAAAATTGGTTGGAAAGTAAAGACGCACGGTACTTTTTACCTTTATTGTTTCTTTCTTTCTCTCTCTTATTTATTCATATTTTCACATCTTTCTCCTTTTTAATAGGGTTTCCCATTCGTTGTATTAGTCTCACGTCTGTTCCCTCAACCAGGCTTTCCGTGAGTCTTGCTCAGGAAAGAATTTTAAGTGCTTCTTCTTCTAATAGGAAAACTGATGGTACTCGTGGCTCTGAGGGTGAAGAAGATCCAGAGGAGGGTTCTTTAGTGCAAAGACCTCGAGTTAGGAGACACGTAATTTTTGATGATGAAGCCACTCCTTCTCATGCCCCTCTATCGAGTTTATCCCCTTTAGACTTTTGGATGAGCCAGAGAGTGACCCTTTAATGATTTCTGATGATGATGTTGTTGATCCTCCCCTAGGTTCTATTGATAGTTTGTTTGCTCATGGCTTCGAGGGTAATGAAGCTCTCAGGCTTGTTTTTGAGGAATGACTCTTGCTACTCTTTCATCTTCGGTTTCCATTACCCCTACCTGTTGCTCCTCCTACTGCTCCTCCCGTAGATGCGTCCACCTCATCTGCTATTCCCGTGGTTGCTTCTCATACAGAGACTGGACCCTCCAGCAGTGGGTTGACAGTGAAAAGAGTTGTTGTGGAAGTCCCCGAAGGTAGGAGTTTACTAAAGAAATTGGGTCAAGCTGATGTGTGGTTAAAGCCCTTGATTGGACCTGTAGAGATTAAGAACTTAGTAAGCCATAACTCCCTGAATTGGATGAATGATATTGTTCATTCTTCTTTAAAGGTACAGTTTTACTTATACTTCCTTTCCTTTTTCTTTCTTATTCATGAACCTTTCTGTTTTTTTGCAGATCAACTTGATTGACACTAAACTTATGAAAAAGGATTTCTCAAGCATAGCAGTAAGTTGTAGACTTTCACACCGAGGTTGATAACTGAAAAGGTCAATTCGAAGGTCTTCAATTGGAGAAAGAGGTTCTGGCAGAAGAAAAGAATGTCTTAGAGCAACAAATGAAGATGATTGCTGTTGAATTAGCAGTTGAAAAGACTTCATCTAGCCAAGTTGGAAAAGACAAGGATATACTTGAGTCCTCTTTTGCTGAACAACTTTCTAAGGCGACTGAAGAGATAAGGAGTTTAAGGGAAATCCTTAATCAAAAAGAGGTGTATGCGGGAGAATTAGTTCAAACACTTACTCAAGCTCAAGAAGATCTCTGTGCCTCTACTGATAAGATTCAATTGGAAAGATCTCTTACTCTTTTGAAGACAGCTTATGATGCCTCTAAAGCAGAAAAAGAAGAGCTGAGGGCTGAAATTGATCAATGGGAGAAGGACTATGAGATTCTTGAGGACAAAATATCATTAGATGTGATCTGGGCCTTTTTAAACACTCACCTTGAGACTCTGATGAAAGCCAACCAGAAGGCTTTTGACCTTAAAGCTGAGATTGTTAAAGCTAAAGAAGCAATTGATAAAACTCAGCAACGTCAAAGATTTTCTTCACTCGAAGATGAAGGTCCCACAGGTGATGGAAATGCACTTGTTCCTGGTGAAGCTAATGTCCAAGCCTCTTCTTTTCAAGTTGACCCTTCTACTCCCGTTACTGATGCTCCCGCAGATGATGCCCCTTAGTTTTTTCTTGATTTCATGTTTGTTCAACTCTTGGGAAGTTTATTTTGTTTTTGGTTATCCCTAGCTTGTTTTGGGGTTTAATGACAAACAAGTACCTCTGTTTTTTCCCAAAGTTTAAT